TGCCAATGTAATGTTCGACGCATGTTCACTGTTGTATGACTCGAGAGTCGAAATTGAAGCTGGAATTATCAATGAAGCTATTCAGATGCCATTTTGAACAAATTCAGAGCAGAAGGGTGAAAAAGATGATTCTGGAACTATTTTATGAGCCCCAGCAAATTTCTTTGTGCCTTGAGGTGCTTCGAGGCGCTGAACCGACTGTTGTTTGCCCTTGTTATAATCAAACACCACAATTTCAAACTCCGCTCTTCTTCTCCTCCCACCACCCTCCGCCTCTCTCCATGCGCGTCCCCCGTGTTTTATCGAATAATTCGAACCTCAGTCAGTCTAATCGATCCCCCAACACGTCCTCCTCGATTTTCAGATCACCAGTGGCCGAAATAGACCCTTCAACGCCGAAATACACGATTTTTGCGATATTCACCAACGAGGACATGTAGGTCCACGAACACTCTATCTGAAACTATGAAATCTGAACCAGAGACTCAGATCCATATCAACTACACTCTGAATGCACTGAAAATTCCGGAGGATCAAGAATGGCTGGGCTAGATTGCGTGCGAGTGGCACGGTCAGGTCTCTGCGGTGCGTATACATTTGTGCGCAAACCATTATTTTTGCTGACCCTCTATTATCCTCCCTGACCCTTCACATGGTCTTCACCTCATTCTGGCGCACCAAATTGCTTCCATTGGTGCATTGGCTCACAGGCACCAAAGCCTTCGAGGGCTATCCGCTAGGTACAACCCATCTACTTTTGGTCTGTCTCATCCATTCCTATCCCCCTTCCTTTGTCTCTCCCTCCCCCCATTTCTGGTTCTCCTCCTGCTCATCTTCCAGCTTTCCCTCTCTCCTCGTCCTGTCTTTGCCTAACTCCCATCTCTTTCCTTCTATTCCCCCAATTCCCGATGGCCCCTTCTCCCCCCTTCTCCCCTCCTCTTCCCTCTCCCTTCTTCTCCTTCTCTCTCCTCGCATCCTCCCTCCTCCGTCTTCCCACTCTCCTGCCATTTGTCTCCTCAATAAAAGACGAATTCCCTAACCTCTTTTACCTAGCGCACCACATTCCATACGAACGCCGCGCGTCCCCACCTCTCATCGCCACTCTCCGCACTCACTCCGGCTCCCCTTCGCTGCACCTGCCTCCTCTCTCGACTGCTCCGCCGTCTCCACTCCGCCCGTCCGCCCCCCGCCCAACTGTGTACGATCTTCTGCACGGCTACCAGGGCAACTGCATGTATGCGCTCCGCGCGCCCATTACGCTCCCCAGCCGTTCCCCATCGCCCACGCCCCAATGGCCCCGCCCTTTTTGGTCGTGCACATGGACGATGCGGCGATGAAATTGAGCGATCGTGTATGGAGGTGGTGTTTCAATTGTTGCTCCACGGATACAAGTACATGGAGGAGTAATCTGAGTCCGGGGAAAGCGGTCAGTGATTTCTCCTCGTCGTATCTGTTCTTTTACTGATCTTTTCTCTCTGCCACAAATGCGGCCTCTTCGAGCGCACGCACTCGCGTCCGCATCCAGAGCAGTTCCCCACAAACACGGTCATCCACTCTCCGCGCGCGCTCGCCCAGGTATGTTATTTTCTTGTCTTTTCCTTTCCTGTTCTTGTCCTCTTCTTCTTTTTGCCTCCCGCCTCCTTCACCCTTGCTTCCCTTTGTCTTATATTTTTTCCATGCATTTTTGCGGGTAGAGGCCTCGATTTCCTTTTTGGGAATGGTGGCTACATCAGCGCTCGTTAGTTTCATCCATTCCCTTACCTTCGCCCGTCCCTTCACTGCGTCTCCGCTTTCCGTCATCTGCGTTGTCCCCGCCGCCCGCTCCCTCTGCTCTACCCTCTTTCGTCGTCGTTCCTCTGTATATCTATGATATATTTCTCTCCTGCCCATATCAACGAGATGTAAGCTGATTTATTTGTGTGGGTCTTCTGGACGTTGACACAGAGGCCAAACCAGGAAGACCGGGCGGCGACTGTTACGGCGTGTCCCATTCTTTTAGGCATTGAATTGCGCTGATCGGAGATTTCGCCCTCGTCACTGTTTGACTCTTCGCGAGTACATCGACTGCTTTACAAGCTCCTTGAGAAGGTAGGTCAAGTCCAATATCTATGAATTCAGGCACCGCTGACCATTTGGTCCATTTACTCCCCTCATTTAGTGCGAATGTAGCTGCCGCGCCTTGTTCTCCGCGGCATGTTTGTTCACGCCGGCTATTTCATGCAAGTAAACCCAAGCAACTTTTCAGACTGATAGCCATTATCATTATCCAGAGGTGCGTATTTAAGTTTCACCGAACGGTCGTTGTTTTGCTCAGTCGGACCTCTTCAAAGTCGCGCCTGAAGGTTTTTTTCGCAGGCTTGTTTCGTGCAGTACATTGGGTATGGGCTTTCCTTTTTTTTGACTCTCCTACGCCCTGCTTACTCCTGGTTTTTCATGTGTTGGCATTCAAGATGCACTTCTTTTTCGTGTTTGCCGGTATGTCTCAAAACCTGTATGTATTTTCTCGGGTGCTGATGATTAACTTGCTTTAAATACAGATACATTCATTACATCGTCAATTAATTCGAACACCAATACAGTACGTGGACATTCTATTACCTAAATTCGATCCGGCACCGACTTGGACCTTAGGGAGACGACTCGAGGGATCGGGGTGGTTTAGAGATACGCCGTGGATGTAATTTATATAGCAGTTAATATATGTGGTTTTTGAGCAGTAATTGGAAGGATGCACCAGTCAAACCAACTGCCAGTAGGCCCTTGATCCGACTGCCATGGTACACTCGAACCGACTGCCATGGGACACTCATACCGAGTGTCAAAATGGCCGAAATGCACTTTCGGGTGAGTGTGTAGTTGCAGTCGGTTCAAGTGCGGGCCGACAGTCGGATCGACTGTTCCGTAACACTCGGACCAACTGTTTTCAGGCAGTCGATCCGACTGTCGATACTGTCCACAGTGAGGGTGGATGCGCTGAGGCTATGCGAAGGTGTACCGTTGCGGCTGGGAGGCGGTGTGGGCGAAAACGCCGGGCGCGGAAGTTCGTCGAAGTGGGAAGGCAGGCGTCTCGGGGTGCTGGTGGGGGGTGCGTATCACGGCGAGCAGGGCGGCGTCGGCGTCGTCTCATAGGTCCGGGAGTAGGGCGGCGGCGTCGTGTAGGGCGGCGGTGGGGCGGGTGGGGCATGGGCATGGGCGGTGGCATCGCAGGGTTGCGTAGGCAGACGGCGGCATTGCGTAGGCGAGCGGCGGTGGCGTCGACGCTGAGTAGCCGTTGTGGCCGGGTCGCGTATGTCGGACTGCTGGCGGCGGCAGGGCGGGTTGGCGGAGCGGTGGCATCGAGTAGGTGGGTAGGTTAGACGCAGGGCGTCGAGGGAGGCATCGTGGAGGACGACCTACTCGCTGTTACACGGCGCGTAGGTCGTCGTCGTCGTCGTGTGAGCGTGTGTGCGAGTAGGGCGGGGTCGGCGTGGCCGTAGCGTTCGGCGGTGGCATCGCGTAGGCGGTGCGCATGGTGGCGTTGCGTAGGCAGGTGGCGGCGGCGTGGAAGGCCGCAACCTGAACATCAGCAGGTGCGGGGTATAGTATTTGATTTGATTTGATTCCGTGTGATGTAGGTGAAATGGGTCTGCGGAAGTATCGACCGGGCGGATGTATTTAATTCTACATCTCTGTAAGACTCAGATTGGGTTATGTTCACCCGTTTTTTAACCCAGAGAACGGGTGAAGACAATCCGGATACCAAGTGAATTTCACCCGGAGTGGCCGCAAACGGGTGAAAGTTTCGGGTTACAATCGGGTGATAAAACGGGTTAAGGACGGGTGAAATTCCACCGCTATATTTCCGTTTTCACCCGTTGTTGGGGCTGTCCGTAGTGGACTATTGTAACCCATTTTGCGGGTGAATTCTGAAACCCGGTTATCGGGTTAATTTCGGGTCATTTTCCACCGTTTGGAGGGTTGCTTTCGCCACTCATGGGATGCCACGGAAAGATAAATAGATAATATTTGGTCTACTGAATACAATGGATAGAAATGAGGAAGTACGACTACAGATGGAAGAGATAGTGGAATCATATAAAACAGGAACACACTGATGTCGCCGACACCAACAAGACGCGTGAAAGGCGGGAAACGGGTCATCGTGACCTATCAAACCAATGAATATGAGGCATCACATTTATGGGGAAACAGGCCTTGTATCTGTATCTTGACATGTCCTTTGAAGTCTGAAAACCGAAGTGAAGTGAGTATAAAATCCCAAGGAGACAAAGAGCTGCCAGTGCCAAGTCGTGCTAGGTCTAGGACACAGAAAGAGCCGCCACAGAAGAAAGAACAGCATCAGAGACACAGCAAGACACAGAGGCTAAGACATGGAAATAGTCCTGGGCTTGAGGTTTGAAGCATGAAGATGGGTCTTCAGGGCGGAGACAAGAGCGGGGTGGGGAAGATGGTGGGAGAGAGAGAGAAAGACGAACATGCATCAACATCAATCATGTGTTGATTGAATCGATTGGCTCATCAAACTCTTCACGTGCAGCGGAGTTTCAAAGACTTCTCAGTATTTCGCTCCACCTGCTCTCTATCTATGTTTCCCTGAAGTGTGGAAGGATATAATAAATTTTCATAGAGATCTTACTTGCAATGGGACATCTGTGGAGGTTTTATTGCCTTTCCATAGCTGCGAGGGATTAACCCGACAAACGGGGACTTTTCACCCGATTCCGCGGGTTATAGTAACCAGCTCCAACGGGTTATTCATACGGGTTATGTAGAACGGGTGAAAAATACTGGATGAGTGGGTTACAACGAATCACCCGTTGAAACAGTGGAATTTAACCCGATATCGATTCACCCGGTCTTCACCCGTGTAACGGGTGAAGGGCGAAAGTAACCCAGTGAACGGGTGATCAAAACCCGGCCCGAGTCTTATAGTGCATATTTCATATGCAGGCGTTGATTGAAGGGAGATTCGAGCAAAAAACATCTGAAGGCCAGAGGAATGTCCTCGGTGGGAGTCGAACCCACGTCTCTTCCTTAAAGCAAACAGAACCAGAATATCGAAAGGAAGGGATCTACCTCTGATCTACGAGGACTTACTACCCTGAAGAAGTGGATGAGCTGGGAATGTGGCTGAGTCTCGGTCTGACTTTGGAATTTGCAATGAGCTTGTGGTTCGTTTTTTTCAACGGGCACCGTGTCACTGTGGTTGAATTTTGAGGGTTCTGACATGGCTGAGTTTAGGATACTAAACGGAGGCGAAAAACATGTTTATCATCCCAGATCCCTGTACGTGTTTGCCCGCTTCCTTATTCTGTATGTTTTTCTCACCCGCTCCAAGACTCGTGCATTTTAGCAGCCTAATTTCCTTTCGCTCCTCGGGTCCAACCGACAAATCAAATATTGTTATTTTCGACCTCCCCGATCAGCCGTTCAATATGCGGACTGTTGGGTGCGTGCAACGCAGAGTTTGTATTTGTAGAATCCAATCAGAATCTGCAAGACGGAGTGTTGGGTTTCTGGGTTACTCCAAATAGAGTAACGCCAACGCAACGCTGGGGGCAACGGGAGAGGATCGTCATCGATACAGGCTATACGGGTGTTGGAGGCTTCCAAGGAGGTTTCCATATGCTTCCATAATGCTTCCATCTTTCGGCTCGTTGGCCCTGAGTTGGTCGTCACAACAATTTATTTCTGAACCCCGATTTTATTTTTGGGGCCGCACCGCAACCGCACTTGGAGTCAGACTTGCGTTTGCCACAACTCTTCGTTCTGTGTTTCTTTCTTCCCCATGTCGGTGTGGAAGAGAGGGTTTGTCCTGAGGGGGACTGAGGTCGTGTCAAGGTCGTGCTGGCTGGGCGTAGAGGCTTGCAGTAAGAATATCGAAAATAACTGAAGCTGAATCAAACTAGGCGTAGATCAATGAATAATGTAAGTAATATATAAAACTTAGCTCAGATATAATCAAATGAGAATGGATTCGCTCGAGTTGCTTCAAAATAGATGTAGACGTGGTGGTACGTGGCTAAGAGAGAAGTGATCCGTGTGGGTCCAGTACAAACAAACAAATACGATGAGTAAAACCCATGTATGTAAGAGTGTCCGTGGTTGAAAAGCCGCAGCTAAAAGTCAAACCTTCGTCCAACGAACAGTCCAGGAGTTACACAAAGACGTTATAGGGAGATGTACACTGCCCCACTCAGTGCCGAATGTGGGTGCCCAAGCCACTTCGAAATCAATCCCCGGCGTAGTCCGAGAAGGCCGAAGACTTGGGTCTGGCTCGTTGCGTTGGCAGTACGTAGGAAGAAAAAATGGTAAGTCTGTGGTATATCAGATAGGTAAGTGTATAAATGTCCAGAAACTCAATAAAGGATGATTCATGCATGATCCAAAAATATATCTTGAGATAATGTCGAAGTTGCCTTGGCTGTGGAACGCGCGACATGCTCGCGCAGTATTTGAATAAACCTGAGAGATAAATCAAAGGAAAAAGCTTGTGTCAGTGAAATGTTCAAATACGACAGAGCGAAAGTGTGGAATAATATAATACGGGATCTGGGTATCAATGTTGCTTCGTGCTTCTAGGGCATGTGAAGGGGGTTGGCGACGAAGGAAGCAAGCCACCCTTCCACATCGGTCAATTCTGAACAAGCGTCTCTGAAAATCAAATTTATCATTGTCGGCGGTGGCCTCGCAGGCCTTGCTTGTGGTTATGCCCTCCGGGTCTCTGGCCATGACACGGTGGTCGTTGACCAACACGACATGCAGGAGAAGGTTTGCACCCAGCGGGATAAGCCAGCCATGTGGAACCAACGGCTTTGTATTCTCAGACTGAGGGGAGTGTTCGGTGCCCACCGAACATGACCAGGACCCTGTCGAGGTGGCCGGACATGGCGTTGTTCCTCGAGACACATGCGACGCAATGCACCGGGTAAGCCTCTTGTCTTATCATCGAGTGCACTGTGTAACCCGACTGTTAGATTGTCTTTCAGATACGGTTTGTTCTCTTTCCATGGATGAACATTGAGGTCTCACATGATAAAGGACGAACGTCGGGGCCGGCGGGATTCATGAAATTTTACGAGCAAATCATGTCCGATCTGGACGCCAACTTTCTTATTATACAGGTGCGGGACACACAGATATCGTTCATTTTCAAACCAATTTGGGGCCGACAACTAGCATGATGATCTGCGTTGTCGATTGCTCACTATGTGTTTGGATGTCGGCGTCGTATTCAAGCGCGGGAAGGCGGTGGATGTCTCCAAGTCAGTGGACGGAATGACGGTCACTTTGGGCGACGGAGAAATTTTACGGGGTGATATTGTACACGTACCTTTTCCTCCTTCGAATTCCGCCTCTCACTGTATTCCCAAGGTCGTGGGGGCTGATGGCCACAACAGCTTTGTTCGTTCGTTGGTTATGAATAAAGTGGCCGAACCTGAACATGTTGTTTCCGGGTATTAATAAGTCTCTCATTACGCAGTGGACATTAACTCAATGCGCATGCAGTGTAAACATTTCGATTCCGACGGATGTCATTCAGAACGACGAAGAATTCCGTTCCCTTTGCAACCAGAATGAGGTTTGAGAATCAACATTTAGCTATGAGAACTCTTACCTTCCTTTAGCTCACTGTTTGGATGGGGCCCGGCTCGTGCATTATTGGCACCCTCGACGTATGTCCTAACATCAGGGAATTTCAACCACCACTGACAACTTCGGCTTCAGAGCAAGTCCGACACGTTCAGTATTTCCATCTGCTCTCCCACGTATCTGGACTCTGCCGATGGCGACATGTATGAAAGCCATGATTTGTCTTTCCTGAGCCCGTTCGATTTATCTGGATACGACCCGAGGTTGGTAGCGATTTGTTTGTTTCGTTACAAAGCCTGTCAATGACTGCTGCAGATTGCAAAAGCTGGTCCAACTGGGACGGGGTTGTCGCCCTACGGTCCACAAGGTGTTCGAGCAAGAGGATATCATTGCTCTGAACGGATCGATTGTGTTGGTCGGGGACGCCGCTCACTCTGTACTGGTATGCGTTCGTCTAGTAATCGATTAAGCAGTCCGATAGCGATGCTTAGATCCATGGAAGTCACAATTCGTCGATGGCGGCAAGTTAACTCATTCCCCCTCTTTAAACCACCCCTCAATTGGTTGGTCACTAGGTCGAAGACGCCGTGACCCTCGGAACTTTGTTTTCTCACCTCTCGGACCCCAAAGAAATCCCCATCTTCGCCGAAATATACGTGGAACTCAGACAGCGCCGAACGAACGAAACACGGATCTCTGAATATCAATCCCTCGCCCAGATTTCACTGGCCCCGGGGCCGCAACAGGAGAAAAGAGACACCACGCTCCCACTTACCCTCGACCAAGCCTTCGAGGACTTTGAGAATTGCACATCGTCGGAGTTGCTTGTCCAGGCCTGGGAGCAGTACCTCGTTGTCTTCAGTCATGATGCAGGGGAAGCCGTGGATAATTGGTGGTCGAAATGGGGCTTCACACTCAAGCAATAGAGATACAAGAGTCGTTCGGCGTGCCCCTACAATGCATCATTCATTTTTTCGTCACGTATTCAGAATTGAAATCAGAGAGATTGTAGACGATGCACGATGAGAAGAGTGTGTAGAATCGGAGATGAGAATGGAAAAACTTGTGTGTGAACGCTCTGAGGCCCCCATCGAGCCACGACGACGAACCGAGAACTGCGAACCGCGCCGAGCGGGTGAAACTGCGAACCGTGCCGAACGGGTGAACTGCGTACTGAACTGGAACCGAACGATGCCCATTTATGGTGTTATTGGTGCTTATTGGTGCGATGAAACGTTGGTGCGGGATTTGACGATTTGGAGGGTCCTTGATCGGACGTGCAAAAAGATTTAGACTAAAGACACTCATCAGTGACCCTCCAACGGCCAATCTGTGCTTTATGTTTTCAAACGCGTGGCCCGATTATAATATCGACAAAATCCGCTGCATTTTCAAAAACTTTCAATTCCAGCGCCCTTCCAGAGCCATTTCACCCCCCGAAATGGATAGCCCTCACGATTCTGGTCATTTCCAGCTATTCCACTGTCAGTGCTTTCTATTATGAAACGTGTGACCGCTGATCGTGGTCATATACAGTACAGTGGACATTTCATCTTCGTAGACAGATTGTTGTAAGGAGGAGAGGATAATCAGGTATGATTCTGGATGGTTGCGTTCAACTTTGAGAGGCACGTTCATTATATGTTCAGCAATAATGTTTTCCGATTTTTTTCCTGTGAGTAGCGCTGTCCACATATGATATTGATACGCTTTTTGGCGTATCATCACCCTCTTTATAAAATTACGAGTGTCTGTCCGTCTGTCCGAAGCTTGTTACACTCCGACGCTTCTTTTGATGATGGCTCGAGAATTCCCCAATGCCGGCACGATCCGCGAAGCCGGCTCCTAGCGCCGACGGCTTCGGGTCTGATTCGGGATGCGTGCCGCTGCTCCCCACAATCGCCCTCCATCACATCTCCGTCAGATATACTCACAAGTCTCCGCAGATTCCCCGGTGAATAGCCAAGCACGGTTCCCTTGAATATCAACTCAACTCAGCTCAGCTCAGCTCAACTGAGTGCACAGGAAAGACTGCTCGGTTACTCTTGAATATCAATTCAACCCCGCTCAACTAAAGTCCTGGTAAAGACTGTGAAAATTTCGAAACGAACCGGCCAGTTGATTCGACACCTGGCAGAAGAGGAACCGCTTGTATTATATCAATATCATATTAAGTGTAAGTAGTACATTGAATACACCATGTTTCTCTCTCCACATGCGCTCGGCCACGGTGCTCGGTCAACAATGGGCCAGCCGGATGAGCGCCTTTCGGCCTTCAATAGCAGTAGGAAATTACAAGACAAGACATCCGGAATTGAACTTGAAAACTGTTCAGGCGTCACAAAGTCGCAATTTGTGGTTGGCACGCGCAGCATTCTGCATGATCCTAATCCGCCTGTTCTCTTTGGAACCAGAGTTTGCACACAAGTTTGGAGTCCGAGGCGCAAAGGAAAGAATAGAAAATTGTCTTCAACCGGACAAAACCAAAAAAAAAGAAAAA